GGAAAGCTGGTTTCGACAGCCGATCCCTGGAGCCAAGAGGCAGCTCAGAGCGGCTGAGTGCTGGAGAAGACCTGAGAGCCACTTTCTGCCGATCTCCGAAAGTTCCCCGTTGCCCGAGTGGAAAAGGCTTCTTCTGCCGCTGGCATCCCAAAGGCTGTGGGAGAGTAAGCCGGAATTGTGGATGTTGTCGTCTGTGAAAAAGGTGGCGATGTAGTTGAACTTCCTGGCCATCTCTTTGATTCCTGTGCGGAAGGTGAAGGCGCTGTCGGCGGTGTCGATTCCAAACCTTGGTTTGAAGCAAATCTCCATCTGTCCTGGTCCGTTTGCAGATGAGAAGCTCTCCACGTCAACTCCCATGTAGTACATCCCTCTGACTATCTGCTGCAGGAAGGGTAGATCGTAGTTGCTCAACAGTGTGGTGGAAGGGAAGAACACAGCTTTAGGTCCCACTCGTTCAGGGGCCCCATTCATACGTGAAGGACGAGTGGATAGAGAATCCCATGCTCTGGAGTTGGCTGAGCATCTGCTTGGCTATGAGGCGGGGTGATGTACGCAGTGGCACACCGGTGATCGTGCAGGGGTCACAGATAAGACGAGCGGTCTGGTCTGCCCAGGGAAGGATTTGGAACGTGGAGAGATCTGCGACCAGGAGGACATCACTGCTGAAGTTGGCTGCGCTCAGATGATCAACTTCGTTGACTTTAGGGCTTAGGGTTAACTCCAGGTAGCTTCTAGGCATGGGGATGCCATATACTGCTTTTTCCTGTGATGTCAATAATGAGTTATGTTACTGAGTACTTTTTACCACTATTTTCAAAAAGACTCGACTTTACACTAAACAGTCAAATGTATTACTAACATTACAGCTGCCGTAAGCAATGTTAGTTGTCTTGCTAACTTAAACCAACCGTTAACCATGCCGTCAATCACACACCCCTACACACTTTTTCCGGTATAAACCCGAAACACGATTATAACATCATAGCAGATCGCGTTGGATGGTGGATTCAAAGTGATCAAGGGCTTAGGACATTCCAATTGAGCCCATAGCAAAGGTTCAGCCAGTAGTGGGCACTCGCGCAACGCAATCAATAACGTACATCCCAGTAAACGAGATGGAGAGAAGTTAGTGAGTGAAGGGCATGAAAAAAATGAACTGGAACACAGAATATTGTCATAGTGCACTGGCATGTTTTTGTTTTTAGTATAAACTAAAACCAACACAATCTCATGGCAATTCCTATGTATTGCTGAATTGCTGGCTAATTTGAACGAATTTGTACAACCTCATTGGTACGTTTTTGTACGATCTGCTGATGTTAGAAATCATACATGTTTGTACTAATAACACAGTACAAATTTATACAAAATTGAAACATGTTTTCTCATGAGTCTTGGTTGACAAAAATATGGTAGTGCACAAAATACACTTATATTCGAGATATAATGAATGAAGACTAGTCTTGATTCCTTATGCAGAGTTGCTTCCCAATAAATATATATATTTTTTTATTGCAAAACAATAAATAAATAATAATTTTTAAGTTATGTTGGATTCCAAAACATTGCATACAGCAGCATAAAATTGTACCATTACAATGTATTGACTACATAGAATCAATAAGAGGCATTTCAAAACATTTACGTGAAAGAATCGAGCTGGAACTGTCTTGGATCGGGACACGCCATGAAGATCAGTGGCCTCAAAGCGAACAAAGCTTATGTTTTCCCGGGCGATTTGCTGTATTATGTGCTCAACGTCAGAAATGTAGCTTTGAGATGCAAAAGAGAGTGCTTGTGACCTCTCATTGTCTGTTGGGAATATGAAATAATAAACAGATAGATGAGAGAGTTTAAGTAAATGTGTTAGATTGAGACAACCGTAAATCATCTTTCTGACCTGAGTGTGATGTGCCAGCTTCTTCCCAATGGGACGTCTCAGCAGTGGGTGAACTCATACCAGAAGACCTGCCTGGAGGTCCATCGGTCATCGAAGACCCGCCAGAATCCCATCTAGAACTTCCTTCTCTGAGTCTGGATGCTCTCCTGTCTTCTGAAAGGGGCTTGAAGGTGCTGAAACTCTTAGATGGCATCTGGTCTGGCTTACAGTCCACTCTTTGACCCGGAGGGTAGCTCCTTCCTCCATCTTGCCCTTTTGCACTGAGTAGGGAGCTCTCACGCAACACGCTTTTCAGTTCGTCCAAGGTTTGTTTGGGGACGCCACCCTCACCAGTTGATGGGTAATATTGCACGTTCTCCCTTCTCCATCCATGCCTGTTGGCGTAGTCATCTTCTCTCGAGAGACCCTGGTACTGGGACTCACTGGAAACAGATGGACAACGATGTGGAGGGCCGATGGAAATAAGGATGGGGTCGTTTGTGGGGCCTGGAATTGGTACGTTTGATGGCACTAAGGGTACAGACGTCCCTTTTCTGTCCCAGTCAGAGGAGGAAAGATGCTTCGCTCTGGAATCCGCACTCTTCTTTCCTGCACTCATATTTCCTCCATCCACCTGGTCTGGAATTTTTTCCTGTAGAAGTTGAAATTGATGGCTTTCAGATTGAAAATAACTCACAATGCAATAACATAAAATCATAGAGTACCAGATTCATCCAAATGGCAGTATACAAATAGTTTGAATCAACTGTACAAATTGCATTTGATGAAAAAAATTAACAAATAAAAAGTAATAATAAAAAATAAATAATTTCAATTTTTAGATTTACCATATCTCTGGATTTCTCTGATTCCTGCATAATGCTCAGGGTTTGTTTTTTTTATGTGAATGTTTGGAAATTCATAACCATCTGGCCCAATCAAAGTGGCTCACACAACTGACTAACAGAGACCGAAACAAAGCAATCTGCTCCCTTTCACCCCAACCAAATGCATGAAGCGTCCAGTCTGTTCAGTCCCACTCATCCATTGTGAGCTTCTGCACATCAGCTGTTTTCAACAGCCCACGACACATTATTCATCAAATCTCTAGAAAGATGCGGTTGTTTGACTAAAAGGTTATTTAACAGAATACCAAAGCCATTACTTTGAATGGAAACATAAATTAACACATAGTGACATGCACTGTTGTTGGCAAGCATATTAAACAAATAAAAGGCATACAAAGATGGCTACAAAAAAATGTATTTCTGACACACACACACAAGATTTTTAAATGTATGTTATACAACAAAGATGACCTTATTGTCAATATGAAGACAAGACAGAAATATTTAGCTGTTAATGTTGTATTTTGTGAGCACTAAGCTATAAACATCCTACCGCACCTGGATCTTTGTGTTTATGTTAAATCAGTTGTAGATTGGTCTACTCTTAAAATTGAGGCATTGTTAATATTACTAGCATTAAACAGAACACTTACTAGTGCTGTCAAACGATTAATCGTGATTAATCGCATCCAAAATAAACGTTTTTGTTTACATAATATATGTGTGTATACTGTGTACATTTATTATGTATATATAAATACAAACACATGCATATATATATATATATTTAAGAAAAATATGTTATGTTTATATATTAATATATAATATAAATTATAAGAATATAAATATATAAATGTACATACATGTAAATATTTTAAAAAATATATAGGCCTACTGTATGTGTGTGTGTTTATATATACATAATAAATATACACAGTAAACATACATATATTATGGAAACAACTTATTTTGGATGCGATTAATTGCGATTAATGGTTTGATAGCACTACTTATTACACAATTATTATTATTATTATTATTATTAGAAGTAGTAGTAGTAGTATTAATAATATTTAAAATAGCAGAATGTGTATATGAAATATGAATATAATTAAATACATACTTGAATTTTTACTGTTTTATTTAATAACATTTTGAGTAAAAGCATTATTGTTAAAACAACAATAATAACTTTATAAAATTTATAGGAAGTTTCAAATAGGACTATAATTAAACATGATCAGCTTTATTTTTTAATGTTTTATTTAATTAACTTTTTAATAAAAAATATTATTATTTCATATTATTATTATATTTAAACTGTAGGATGTTTAGAATATGAATTTAATTCAAATGAATTTTACATTTTGTAATGTTTTATTAAATACTTGTTTAAGTATTATTGTTATAAAACTTATAGGATGTGTTTAGAATATGAATATAATGAAATACCTATAATCAATTTTATTTTGTAACGTTTTAATAAAATTTGAAATAAAAAATATTACTGTTAATAATTATCATAAAAAGTATATGATATGTTTAGAATATGCATATAATGACATACATGATAACCTGTATTTTGTAATGGTTTATTTAATAATCTTTTTAAATAGAAGTGTCATTTTATTAATAATAATATTTATTGTTTTTTGATCAAACTTTAGGATGTGTTTAGAATATAATGTAATTAAATTCATGATAAACTGTATTTTGTAACGTTTTATTTAATAATCTTTTTAAATAGAAGTGTCATTTTATTAATAATAATATTTATTGTTTTTTGATCAAACTTTAGGATGTGTTTAGAATATAATGTAATTAAATTCATGATAAACTGTATTTTGTAACGTTTTATTTAATAATCTTTTTAAATAGAAGTGTCATTTTATTAATAATAATATTTATTGTTTTTTGATCAAACTTTAGGATGTGTTTAGAATATAATGTAATTAAACATTTTATTAATAATAATATTTATTGTTTTTTGATCAAACTTTAGTATGTGTTTAGAATATAATGTAATTAAATTCATGATATTATTTTGTAACATTTTATTTAATAAAATAGTAAATAAAATTATTATTTTAATAACAACAATAATAATATTATTATTAATAAAATAGCATTAATAACAATAATTATTATTAATAATGATGATGATGATGATGATGATGATGATAATAATAAATAATCGTGCTGTTATTAATCAAATGTCTGTGTAGTTTTGTGTAGATGTTAAGCGAGTCGGGCTGTATGTGCTCGTGCTGTAGTGTGTGTTGTAGGGTGCGGTTTCTTGAGTCCAGCTGTAACCGGTTACCGGAGACTCCGTCACATACACGGCAGCGCTGTATGGTCAAACACCACAACACTTATTCTCCGGAGCGGCTTTATGATTAAGCTACAATCTTCAATGAGTAAGCATATTCCAGTAAGTGAAACCTTTCAACCTTTGTTTTGAAGCGAATTCAGGGTTTATTTTTGTGGTATTTAGTCTCAATCTGCGCGCTAATTAGCACCGGAGCAAAACAGGTTTTGTTGTCGACCACAGTTTAGGTATACATTAATATGTCTGTTTTATTTTGTTGTAACCATCTACAAAACTGTAAAATTGTGTGTGCGTGTGTTGATAAAGATTGGATTTTAAAGCTATAATGTCGTTGAAATAATCGCTTGGTGACGGTGTTAGCTTAAATTAGCCTCGCAGCTACATCAGTACGAACTGGGCACGACATTTCGCTCTTTTATTTCACTTTAATCAATTAAATTAAAAAGTGAATTAAATTAAGTATCTAGAATGAGAGTTCGTGTTGCGTTTTTGTTGAACATGAATGTAATCTGTGAGCTTTTGGCCCATTCCTAATATTAGCCAAGCGGAAGTCTTTGTGTCAGTCCTGATCAATTAGCATATCCTGATGTTTTGGATATTAAAATCTCTGTTTTTGTTCAGTATAAAACTGAATATATCAGTATAAATCGATACAGCATAGTATCGCGATATTTTCCGTGGCAATACTGTATTAGGGCTGCACGATAAATCGCATGCGATATTTAATGCGCATCTTATCAGTAAAGCCGGTTCTGTAATCTGACGAGCTGCGCAAAACCACGATCATATTATCATGTTTTGCGCAGCTTGTCGGTGAACAACGGCTCTGTGTAGTTAATCCTGCTCAGTGTGAAAGCCCGCAGGTGATGGAGATTTACCGCTGATTAGAGAACGGCTTTACCGACAAGATGCGCGTTAAATATCGCATGCGATTTATCGTGCAGCCCTATACTGTATCGATACACGGACGCCAAGTATCGATCTTTTATTATACTATTTGGTAGAATAATACAACCAATTTCTTTAAACTCCACTAGATGGTGGTGTTGAGTATTTTCTGGTGAGGTCAGCTAGGTCACCTTAAGCATGCAGTAAGTTAGTAAAATAAAGAGGGCGGCATCGTGGAAAGTTATCAGGAAAGCCCCGCCCGCGTTTAAATCGGATGTATGGACTTACTTCGGATTTGCAAACAAGTAGGGGATGCAAGTAGGGATGCACCGAAAATATAGGCTACATATAATAATAATAATAATAATAATATATGCCCGCCCCGCAGTGTTCAGCGTGCATGTTTTCACTCTCCTCGTCACTGCGCGGTTTGACGCTCCGCGTAATATTCCGCTCAATGAATGTACGTTCCGCTCATGTACCGCTCATGCTCATCGGAAAAGCAAAGTCCGCTCAAATAACGCGCTGACAGGACATTTCTATGCAGTATAGGCCTACTTGTTCCGGTTTGCAGTAGCGCTACTGTGCTGTAATGAACCTTATTGTAAAGTGTTACCAATATTAATATAAATTCTGTCCATTTTTATTGTTACTTTCAGTAAACGTGTGATTATTTTATTGGCCTGCGTTTTGTTTTAATTCAGTATCATTAAAATGTAGTTAAATTTAAAAAGTCTTACAAAATTACTTTATATTATTTAATAAAATAATAATAGATTATTACAAAGCCTTTTTCGGTTTCCATTTCGGATTCGGTTTTCTGCCAGGTGCATCCAGAATTTTCGGTTTAGGCCCAGAATTTTCATTTCGGTGCATCCCTAGATGTAAGACTACATGTTTTATTTTATTTTATTTAAAAAAAAAATATATATTTATTTAACTTTTTAGTACAATTTCAAGTTGCACTGTTCAAAATACCTGTAGTAGCACAGCAGTGCATACCTGTTTACATTTAATTAAGGTGGACTAGATTAGACTGTAATACAAATAGTTGAGTTTGCCAGGTGCATACAACATTTATGACAGGTTTTCATGAAAGTGTTGGTCAGTTTGTCTGCTTGACAATCCCATTTTGCACTGCAACAATAAAACTGAAGTGAGATAAACAAACTGAGAAATGTTTCTTTTTAGTTAAAACAGATGCTGTCAAAGCTTTCCTTTGGGGGCATAATTTGAAGTTGGAAAAAGGTAATAAATTGCAATATATTGCAGAATATCGCAATATATTTAAAATTGCAATAATATTGTATCGTGACACAAGTATCGTGATAATATCGTATCGTGAGGCCTCTGGTGATTTCCCACCCCTGATATTTTCCATGTCTGTGATTTTTCCCTCAATTTTCCCTATTAATTATAGCCATTCAACATTACAGTATAATATACATTATTATAAAATACATTATTTTTAACATTTAATAGGCTTTTTTTTAACATTTAATAGGCTTTCTTAAACATTTAAGTGATTTTAAAACAATCTTCACATAAACTATATTATATATGCATAAACTATACATATTAATCTTTATTCAAGCTACAAAAGTTATTAAAAGCTACGCAAGAGTGCGTCCACGAGTTATCTGACTAGCGCATAACTTAGTTCAAGATAACTTGTGCATTTACGCCTTTTTGTACATATATAAATTGTAATATGTTTATGTTCTATAAATATCTGATTCTCATATAGCCTAATTAACCCGCTATAACAAGTGCTTGAGTTTACCGGTGTTCATTCAGCTCTTCAGCTACAGCGCACACAGCTCAAACAGCAATGCTGCTATTTTATATATATATATATATATTAGTAATAATAATATAGTTAATAGTATGTGTGAAAACGTAGACTACTAAATATTGGACTATAATAATATGTATAGTAGCGTCAGTGACATGGTCAGTAACTAATCAGCGATGTTTTGCCATGAATTAGTTTCTTTTTCATGTTTAATGTTTGAAAACAAATTGTTACAAGTATATAAAATTGTAAACTTACAAATTTGGAATTTTCAGAAACGACTTTTTTTATACAAGTAAAAATTCTTGTGTGTGAAAATGTAGACTGCTTATATAATACATTTAAAATAAATATAATAAAAAAAATAAAGTAATATAATAAAATAATATAATATATAATGAAATATAATAATAAATGTAAATACAAAAAGCCCTTTTTATAATATATTAATATAGGCCAGGACAGATAGAAATGAACTACTGGCCCAGCTGGACAAGCAGAAAAATGGCTGCTTTAAATCAGGACGAGAGCGATAAATGAAGTCCTGTGCCCTGACCGCGTGTGCTTCTGTTCTTGTGTCCTTGCAGCAGTTCTGTGGTGTTTTGGGTCACACATTTATGGAGTTTCTGAAGGACAGTGGCGACTACTGCCAGGCTCAGCACGGCGTTTATGCAGAGAAGTGAACGGCCGGCCTCGCTACCTCATCAGAACAGAGACTTGTGTTACAGTTTTAACGTTGGCGGGATCGGGCTTGGAGAGCGGGCGTCCACAGCGGTCGGCGGTTCTGGATGGGGTAAAACAAATCTCTTGAAGTTCACTGCCCTCGTCGGCCCTACGTCTTCACTCTCACCAGAGGACCAGCCTTGTTTTCTAGGGTTTTTCCTTTTTTTTTTTGCTATTAATCCCGCCCACCTCTGGGTCACACCTCTTTTCTCCTAATCGTATCCGCCAGCATTTCTTTTGTTATTAGAGAAAGTTTTTTCCATTTTTTTCTTTGAGATTTTCAAGCTGTTTTGAAAACTCAAAAATGGCGCGTATGAATAGACCTGCCCCAGTGGAGATCACTTACAAAAACATGAGATTCCTCATTACCCACAACCCCACTAATGCCACGCTTCACAAATTCATTGAGGTGAGTGTTGGTTTAAACGCACTAAAAGTGTTGTTTTGCATAGACGATTATAAAACCCTCATAATTACAGTAACTGCAAAACATCACTTACATGATATTCCATTAGGAACTGAAGAAATATGGGGTGACGACGGTAGTTCGAGTGTGTGAGGCCACATATGATGCAAACCTGGTTGTTAAAGAAGGTATTCAGGTTCTGGTAAGTCCACATGAACCAGTTCACCTACATGACTGTGAATAGAAATGTCCATTCTTATCTCAGGCCTTATCTTTTAATGCAGGATTGGCCCTTTGATGATGGAGCTCCTCCCTCTAACCAGATCGTTGATGATTGGCTGAATCTTCTTCGGATGAAGTTTAGGGAGGAGCCAGGCTGCTGTATTGCCGTACATTGTGTTGCAGGCCTTGGAAGGTAATTTTATTGGGATTCAAGATCATTGGATGTATCATAAGGTGTAAACATGGAATAAAACCCGTTTTGAGCTTTGCATGGAAATCTTAGTTGTTGTTTTTTCCCACAGAGCCCCAGTGCTGGTTGCTCTGGCCCTGACGTGCAGAGGCTATTCCGTTTTATTGATCTATGGCGCATTCATTTTGATTCTTTACACATGTAATGATGTCCAGTGACTTGTTTGCATTATGTATGCATTCTTTTTTTTTTTTTTTGTAAGGCTTTTTTATGACGAAGTTTGGTAATGGGAGAGAGTACAATTTTTAAAGCATACACTGCTCAAACTAGGCTGCTTATGTTGAAGTGTTTGGGATGTGGCTTGTAATGATGAGACCTTTTTTGTAATCAGGCTCTCAAAACTATAAAAATTTGGATATAGGTTTATCGGCCAACATATCGGCTTTCAAATATAAAGAATTATCGGTTATCGTATCGGTGCATCCGTATCCGCCAGCATTTCTTTTGTTATTAGAGAAAGTTTTTTCCATTTTTTTCTTTGAGATTTTCAAGCTGTTTTGAAAACTCAAAAATGGCGCGTATGAATAGACCTGCCCCAGTGGAGATCACTTACAAAAACATGAGATTCCTCATTACCCACAACCCCACTAATGCCACGCTTCACAAATTCATTGAGGTGAGTGTTGGTTTAAACGCACTAAAAGTGTTGTTTTGCATAGACGATTATAAAACCCTCATAATTACAGTAACTGCAAAACATCACTTACATGATATTCCATTAGGAACTGAAGAAATATGGGGTGACGACGGTAGTTCGAGTGTGTGAGGCCACATATGATGCAAACCTGGTTGTTAAAGAAGGTATTCAGGTTCTGGTAAGTCCACATGAACCAGTTCACCTACATGACTGTGAATAGAAATGTCCATTCTTATCTCAGGCCTTATCTTTTAATGCAGGATTGGCCCTTTGATGATGGAGCTCCTCCCTCTAACCAGATCGTTGATGATTGGCTGAATCTTCTTCGGATGAAGTTTAGGGAGGAGCCAGGCTGCTGTATTGCCGTACATTGTGTTGCAGGCCTTGGAAGGTAATTTTATTGGGATTCAAGATCATTGGATGTATCATAAGGTGTAAACATGGAATAAAACCCGTTTTGAGCTTTGCATGGAAATCTTAGTTGTTGTTTTTTCCCACAGAGCCCCAGTGCTGGTTGCTCTGGCCCTGATTGAGTGTGGCATGAAATATGAGGATGCTGTTCAGTTCATTCGACAGTAAGTTAACTTCATATTTTTGAAAATAATACAATCTAAAATATCGTCCCAAAATGCGTCTTCGATTCAAGGATTCCAACGGCCACCGCAACAACTGCTGCATTCAGTAAAAGCTTGCGTATCAGCCTTTCTCAAATGTGTAATGGGAATTTGTATCTAGCATAGGTAGTTTGTTCTCTTGTTCTAACTGTGAAAATGCCGTTACAAAAATTAAGCTTATTTCGTTACAAGTGTCCCCCGCCCTTCTCTTTGTTTTTATGTATTTCCTGTGGAGAAGCAAGGTAAAGTGCTTGTTTGAACATGAGCTTAGTGTTTTGCGATGAAGTTTATGTTGGTGAAACATGGTCAAATCCCAACTCTGCCAAACACGTAGTATGCTTTATAGCCTAAATGGGTTTGATTAAAAAATAATTTCATGCATTTTTTGTTGTTGTTGATGATTTCAGTCTATCTGTAATAATAATTTGCCTCCGAAAAAATCTAAAATAAATGCCTTATTACAGCAGAAAGACACCATCTGGTGGAGTTCTCGGTGGCATTTGGAGAGGTTTTTCGGTGATGTCTTTTGCAGAAAAAAATCAGGAATAGATATAAAAAAAATTGAGGAAAATATATATATATTGAAGGGTGGGGTACTACTTTTTGTTGTTTATCCAAACTTTGTTTACCTATTACTGCCATGTCAATAGTGTGATGTTTGTGTTTTAGCTTAAAACTGGACCTCAATGTCTGCAGTATTTTTATGGCTTTTTTTATTTGATGTGCGTAACTGAATATTTCAATACTTGATTTACGTACGGTATTTGATTGTGTACTGTTAAATCACCTATTTATATAATTGGATATGTGTTTTAGTATAGCAAGAAACAAGTCTGCCCATTTGAGAGTACAATAAAGATACACTGAAGGAGCATTTTACTTCGTCTGTGCTTGATTCAAACTTTTAAATTAAAAACATGCAGCACTTTATCAAAATTCTTTTATTTTCCTCCCTTTTCACAACCGTTGGTGTCACATCAATTTTGTCTACAATAAATAAAGAATATAGAAACTTCCTAGATCGCTTTTAAACATCAAGACCTCTCCCTCACTGCAAAGAACCACAAAAATTTTCACGAAATTGGAGAAAGTCTCTAAGGTTAAAACAACCCAAAAACCATTTAATAAAATGCTTGCCAATCATTTTTTAGCAATGCAATATTGACAAATGTACAATGTTTAGGACCCCCTCTGATTTAAAGTCCTTTTAACAGCCTTTAATGTGTAAAGTGGCCAGGTTGTGGCGACATAATTTTGTATGTATCCAGGACCCAAAAAATACAAAGTATATTCAAATGAGATTGAACTAGAGCATATATTTTTTGCAAGCTATAATTTAATTATTTATGGGGCAATTTAGGTTTATTTTGAATCTTAATAGAATTATTGGAACTATACAAAAGTATGTCCAAAAAAAAAAAAAATTATCTTAGTAAAAGGGGACTGAATGAAACTGGGAACCCTAATAAGAATTGATCCAACTTCACACAGGTGTTTGATAAGTACAATCACACCTGCATATACCACTGATGCAGAAATCTCCTCTTCGAGGGAGTCACTCTGTTAAGTCTCTCAAGTTTCCCTGTCCAGAGACGCTGGGCTCTGATGTGTGGCTCGCTGATGGCTATCAGCTCATAGACCATCTGGTCCCTTCACGCTGGACTCTTTGACAGATATCGGACTCGCAACTGCTTGAAGCACGCACTGAGATGACTCGCAGTATCCGTTAGGGCCGGGGGGACCTGGTGGCCCGGGCACACCTGGCATTCCAGGAACACCTGCTGGTCCTCTCAGACCGTCACGCCCGTTACTGCCATATGCTGGTTTCCCAGGGTCACCTGAGAGCCGGTGGACAAACAGACCAGCAGTCAGGAGCATGATATTCAGAGATTTAAAGATCTAGATAAGATGCAGGCCTTGCTCTTACCTGGGAGCCCTGGTGGTCCAGGTATTCCTTTAGGCCCCACCACTGTGGGCCCTCTATCTCCCCTGTCACCTTGGTCACCTAAATGAAGGACAACACAAAGGTTGTAATATGGGATGTAGATGGTGCTTCATGTCTTATGTTGTTCTGGGAATAGGGAATAAAATAATAGGGTATAAAACAATGCTAAATGCCAAAAATAAAATGCAGTCAACCATATATCAGTTATGATACACTGCAAAAAATGATTTCCCATTGGCAGATTTTTTTTTTTTTCATTTTGCTTTGATATTTTGCTTAGATGTTTTTACTGGAAAAGACAAAAATAGTAAGAAGTAGATCATTTTTTGAAGTGTAAATGGACTTGACACACTTCTTATATGTTGTCGACGTCAAATGATACATGGCCAATCATATTCCACAGTATTGTGGCACATTGGTCACTTAGTAATATGACTAATACAAATACAATATTTAGCCCAGTGTTTGTTCATTGTTTTATGCTAGTAAATCACATTTGTACTATTGTTTATGCATTTATTAAAGGGTAATTTTTTCCCATTCAGTCCGTGTCGTGGTCAAATTTTGCAGATTGTTGAGCCTGTACAGTTTATAGGAATGATCCATTTCATGTTTAATTTTAAAGTCGGCATGCGATGGAAAGCAAAAGAAAAATTGTACTCATTATTAGTCTTAAGGTGGGGTCATAGCAAAATTTTGGTGTATTTTCCATCGTCAAGTGTAGCGCCACGTGAAACATAGCTCATTTTCAAAGCAGTCACTTTTCTGTTGGTAAACACAGCAAATCCACTTGATCAACTAAAAACTGTTGCGAAATCTGTATGGGGAGATCTTTCACCTTCGCAAAAAATGTGTGGCTTCGTACCTTTGGGCCCTTTCCTCCCTATGAGCCCCAGGGGCCCTTTGAGACCCGGCAGTCCTCTGCTTCCAGGATGCCCAGGGAAGCCGTTGTCTCCACCAGGCCCTGGAGGGCCGGGGGGACCAGGAGGACCTGGCAACCCAGAGATGCCCGACTCGGGCCTCGTCAGACTGGCTGCCAACTGGGCGAGCTGTCCTGTGAGGAAACCGGAAATGGCAAATCCATTCAAAAAACAAAACCCATTCGAATTTAACAATGAGTCGAGCTTACATTTGTAAATATCTGTAAGGATATCAAAATACTGACCGTGCAAAACCCTCATGCAGACCTGCTTGATGTGTTCATCTATGGGTGCTCGGCCCTGAAGGAAAATATTTCCTCATTTAATGCAGGTAGAAAAGACTGTGGTGGAACAAATCGCACTGAGGTAAAATTCCTCATTTAGTACAGGTTTAGTACATTGAAGTCCAGTTCCACAGAAATCAAAGTCTCTATGATAAAAGTGTGACATATTTAAGGCGGCAGTAATGAGATGATTAAAGCAGGCGTACTGGTCGTCCCTGTGCCCCAGGCAGTCCAGGTACCCCGCCGTCTCCTTGCATGCCTCTTGGGCCAGGCTCTCCAGCTGTGCCCTCGGGTCCAGGTTGGCCATGCCCACCCTCTGGCCCTTTATTTCCTGCCTCTCCTGGTTTTCCTGTCTGAACACAACAAATGCTACACATTTTTAAGGAGGCCAACATTGAATTTTGTGCACTTGTTGACATTTTATGGATTAATACAGTGTTTATGGATTAAATACTAGTGTTCTAATAATTTTGGCCACCACTGTATATCATTGACATGCTATAGAGTTTTTATTTTTATATTTTCCTTTTAATTTCAGTATTTTTGTTGTTGTTTTTTGTCATTTTATTAGTTTATATGTCTAGTTTTTATCATTTTTATTTTTTTGTATTTTTTTTTTCGGTTAACATTTATTTCGGTAACAGACAATAGCATCACTTCTCAAAGCAAACTCACCGATCCTTTCTCGCCTGGCTCTCCCTCATCACCCTGGGAAAATAAATGGACATGGAGTTCAGGATCAGCAAGGGGGTCATGACTGAATACATAACCAATACATCCAAAGACATTCAAATATCTGTGCTGTTATATATCTGTACTTACAACATCTCCTTTGTCTCCAGGTGTTCCCTCTTCACCAGGTGGGCCCTAAACAAACATGCATTAGATGCATTATAATATAGATTTAATTGATGTTATATAATGTAAAACTAAAATGACACACACACACATATATATATATACTGTATATGTATGTATTGGCTTACTTGCTCTCCTTTTGGACCAGTTAGACCAACAGCGCCCTTGATAATGATAAAATAAGATTGTGCTTTTAATCTTAACTAGCCATTTGATAACTGCCTAAAAAATGGATGAAAATGAATTTTTTCAAGTGATTTTTAATTTTGGCAACTTGTTTCTGGAAAAAAATATTGGTCCACAGAGAATCTAGTTTTAAAGATCTGCAATAAAGAGAATAATGCTTATAATCCACATTTGTCAAATTCTGAAATTCCTAAGTCACATGACCTCACCACTTTACATATTTAATTCAGTAAGTGAAACATTTAATTCACATTATATTTAATCACATTATTGCACACCCTGCATTAAAATACAGGAAGTTAGCATTTTAAATTAAATTTTGTCTAAAAATGCCTTTAGCACTAAAGACATTCATTTATCACACAGGAAACTGTAGGCCAAATTGCATTATGGGATGCAATACCAAGTACGTTTGCTATATACTACACATTTGGCCATTTTGGGAGGTCATTTAAATGTATTTCTATGAATGCATACTGTTTTCATACTTTATGCAGAATAGTATGCATAAATAGAATGCAAACAGAGTGTTATGGTAGCAAGTTATTCTGAACATAGACAACTTTTAACAAATGATTTGATTGGCTCTTTTGTATTTTGAATCGATCTGTAGTTTCTGCTTTTGAAATCCTACCCTGTCGCCTTTCTGCCCGATGAAGCCAGCAGGCCCTGGAAGACCAGGAAGGCCCGGATCTCCTTTAGCACCCTGTAAAATACATAAATACACAGACACACACAAATAAATACAAATTCATGAACACTACATGGCCTGTGCCCGTAGCTGCTGCACAAACCACATCTGCTCTAAAAAAAACACAGTCGGCAGCTCAGTGAGCAGGGTGCTGGCGGGACTCGTCTGAGGTGTGTGGATGGATGTGGACTATGATTAAGCCTGATGCCCTTCGCTGGCTGCTTGAAGGAATTCCTGCAAGACAGAGGGCTCATTCAGCCCCCCGTCCTGCTCTGAATATCCCCTTACCAAAGAAAATATCCCCAGCTACTAGGCCTCAATAACAACAGGCTATTCATGCCCCTACCAGCCGATTACTGCACTAAAGCTCACTAGAGCTTTCTAAGGAGATTGCATTACAGTTTGGAGCACTATTAAGCTCCTCAGCATAGGACAGGAATCTGAGAGCTAAGATCAAGTCAAACATGTTTCTGATTGTTTCTGCTTTTCATACTGTTTTGTAAATACGCTTCAAAGTGTTTGTTTTACTGCACTTTATCTATTTGCATCTGTAGATTTCAATTACAATACATACCTTTAAAGGCCATTTTCTCAAAACATGTTTTGTTTTCTCATTTCTGGCTGTTGACAGTATTTTCTGATACAAATAGATATCCAAAGTCTAATATTTCAACAAAATGAAATGAATTTTGAACCTGGCTTTATCCAATGTTATGTTATGTGCTGGAAAATTTATTATGTGCATATTTAATTAGCCTATTTAAACATAAAATGTTCTTTAAATACAAAAATGTTTACAATTCTTTATGTAAACACACACTTCAAAATTTTTAAATGTATATAGATATAGAGCTTATGTTCAAGTACAAACTAAATATTTACCATGTAGGATATTTATTAGTGTTTCATAGACATGAAATTATATTTTGGCCTGTCCCAAATGGTAACCTTAGCCCACACTGTCCTCCTTCTACACTTTACCCCATGGATTGTTTAATAGTGGACACCCTAGTGTTTTAGACTTCAGAGATGTGTGCGTGAGAATGCAACAAGACTTCCACATCAAATCTGCAATATAGGACAAGACCTTTGAGAGTTTAAAGGATGTGTAATTTCTTTGGAATCTTATTTGTCATCTTCCAAAGATTTCTCTTCTTCTTTCATTTGTCCTTCATCTCTTTCCACATTTTTGCCTGTTCTTTGTAGCTCCAGGCTATTCTCAATTGCCATGAAGCTTCACCTAAGAGAAGGGATGTAACAATGCACACCGAGCCAGTTGAAAATCGATAAAAAAATATGTGACGATTCAAGTTGGTTGAGATGTTAAACGAATCACGACAATTGGGACTGGGAGTTTAAATGAATGTATCTCTGAGGGGAAAAATTTAGATGGTATTATATTTTTATCTTTCCTCTGTATAATGTATATTAAAGTAGTGTTTATAAGCGCAGCACTGCTTTGTTTAAAGCGGTATACGAGGAAATGCTGTATCGCTGCTGTTCCATGAGCGCCACCTGCTGCCAGAGAGTGAATTTGCATTCTCATTCATCCCGTCTTCTGTTTTTGTTCAGTGTTTTACATGTAGTTCAGTTTTCATCATTTTGTTTTTGCTTCAAATTTCAAAATTGTACAGTCTAATTTAAAGGTGCCATAGAATGGAAAACTGTATTTACCTTGGCATAGTTGAATAATAACAGTCCTGTACATGGAAATGACATACCGTGAGCCTCAAACACCATTGTTTCCTCCTTCTTATGTAAATCTCGTGCATGCAAAAGACCACTGAAAAATAGGTGAATCAGAACATAACACCGACTGTGACGTTACAGTCGGGATCACTAATAGTTACGCCCCCAACATTTGCATATACCCGCCCATGTTCTATGCCAGTTGCCAGCCGAACCTGCACAGCCGAATCATCAGAAGTTCTGCAGGTATTGTGAAGAAACAAGCGAGGATAATAGCGAAAATGGCAGATCATGGAAATAAATGTTATGTTCCAGGCTGTGCAGGGGATGTGATGTGCAGGGATGGGTTGGTATCTGTATTCAGAAAGGCACAGAAAACAAATAACGCGCGCGTTCTAATAAAATAACGCGAGCCACTGAAGGGACATGGTTAGCCGCTTGCTAGCGGTAGCCTGTTACATTACAGTACATAAGATTTCACTTACCACATAAACAGAGTAAGGAGAGATGACTGAGGATGATGGCGAATGATTTACAGATCCTGAGCACCACTGACAAGCATCTGATCTCGTAAAATGTGTGGTAAGTACTGCCGCTGTAGTTTACACAGAGCACGTGCGATCGCAAATCTTGAAAGTGAAAGTAAAAAGCTATAGTGCATTGGAAAGCAGTTTCAATGCTTCGCATGTTAATAGCGGCTCCCTGATGCCCGCATTTTATATACAGTATAATTACCCAATGATATAACTGCGAGAGACGGTATTGAAATATATATTTTCCCTGTGTTTCCTTCCTGCTGTGTGAGCTACTGAAATGAGCCGCACTGTGAAACAGCCAATCAGAGCAGAGCTCAACATTGAGCCGCATGACCCTTCCAAATAAGGTAAAAACAGACCATTTAATTCTAGGGACAAATCCTAGGGTTGTAAATGGACATGTAAAACCGTTTCTGGAGATTTTTTGCCCTTACCTAAGCCACATACCTTCTATGTAGATATCAGAGAACAATTTAAAATATTGTATCAAAGCATTCTATGGCACCTTTAAATCAAAAGCTGCTCACGCTGCATGTATGCAGCATCTTTATTTGGATTGTAGTTGCCTCTAACTTTAAATGGAAAGAGCACAGGCAAAGCCTTAGTTTATTTATATGAAGAGAGTTGTTTTATTTGTACTATTTATTTATTTGATTTGGGATTTGTTTTAAAATTTCAGTTTAGTTTTGTTATGTGACATTTCAATTTCACAAAGAAATGTGCAACATTTTGTCCGAGAAATAATAAAAGGACACCTTTTCATTTATAATTTGTCTTAAATCTCATTTTGTTAAAAAAACGTATAGTGAAATCAGTATCGTGAATCATATCGCATTGTGAGTTGAGTGAGTCATTATATCCCTACCTGAGAGTGCTTTTATTATTATCTAAAGCATCTTTTATGGTGGAATTGTAGTTTCTGATGACTCACCCTTGCACCTGGTGAGCCTGCAGACCCATCAGGACCTCTCACTCCTCTCTCACCCTGGAGAAAAAGACAGAACGTTATAGAAGTGACACATTTCTTTATATGACACTATATGATGGAAGAGGAAATATACTCACTGGCCCACCTCTTGGGCCGACTGGTCCCACCTCTCCCTGCTCGCCACGTTCACCCTGAAATCAAAACATCAGAAGTTGTTCATTCATCCACATAGGCCTGCAAGCTGTGGTGAACAAATGGATAACCGTGACTCACTGTTTTTCCATTATTTCCAATCAGACCTGCCACACCTGGATCACCAGTATTTCCCTGGAGCAAAGACAAAACAGGTTATCCTTCCTGCTAATGGACACTAGAGGTGCACCGGTTGACCAGCCATCATTCGCAACCAGACTATATTGTCTGGCTATATTGATCTATGTTCTGCACACAAAATGCATTGGAATCATTTTGCAAAATGTCATTTGAAAATGGGACGTTAACAGAAGCCAGTAACAGGACAGGCTGAAGACAGACGAAAAGAAAAAGAGGAGAGTAGAGAAAATACTGTCCCAGACAGATCAAGGCTCACTGTTCGCAATGCTTGGAGTCGGTTCACAAAAGTTTCAATTGCATTTTCTTTTCATCTTACCTGCGTATAGTGCCTATTAAAGTAGTATTTATAGTAAGTGTTTTTTCTTTAAATCTTGAATTTATATAATACAATTGAAATACAAAAAATAACGGCGCGTGCTATATGTATGTAGCATCTTTATTTGGATTGTGATTACAATGTGGTGGTTACAAATGATAATAGAGCAAATAATAGGTACTGGAATCGGCCCATTTACTGGTAAAAAAGAAACAATCGGAAATGGCCATGAAAACATTTGGGCATCATTACTAAGATTCTTCAGAAATCATGATGATTGGTGCTCAAGATTATTAATGTTAAAAGCTGCTTAATATTGTGCTGCTTTATATTTTTGTGGAAACCACGATTAATTTTTTTCAGGATTTTTGGATGAAAAATAGGTTGAAAAAAGATTTTTGTAACATTGCAAAAGTCTTTACTGTCACTTTTGATCAATTCAATGCCTCCTTGCTGAAAAAAGGTATTTAAAAAAAAATAAAAATCTTACTGACCCCAAACTTTTGAACGGCATTGTATCTCAGCAAACATTTAAAACAAGAATCTATCTTGGATATACCAAGATAACAAACAAAAAAAAGCACACTTTTATGAAAATACACTAACGATTCACACTTGAATGACCTACTTTTTCACCCATGTGACCTTTTGCTCCTGAAATGCCTGGCAAACCCTGAAGGAGAAGAAAGTATCAAAAATGCAAGCCATTCCCAGTCATCTCACAAGTAGATATCACGGCATATTAATTGCATATCGAACAGGGGTCAAAGGTCATACGCACTGGAAATCCCTGAAGTCCAGCCTCACCAGGCGAGCCAACTTTTCCAGGAAGACCCTAAAACAATATGCAGATAGAAATCGCTTCACCATAGAAAGAGACAAACAGTGATGTAAATGATTCTTCTCTGCAGGCATGAATTATTAAAGTCATTACCTTCACTCCGGGCAGCCCTGGAATCCCGTCACGAGCATCCACCGCAGGCAGACCCTACATCACAAAGATGCAATTTTATTGTATAATCATTCACTTTAGGATAATACAATATAGAATAGAATTCATAAAACTGCAACACAGGTAACTTACAGTCTCTCCTTTCGGTCCAGGTAAACCCAAAAGTCCCTGCAACCCCCGAGGTCCCTAGAAAGAAGAAGCCACATTAGAAATCAAAATATAGCAAGCTTGTTGAGTCTGCTTGAGCTGTTAATATGTCATGATAAATATAATGCAATGTGTTGTTTTGTTGTTGGATGATAACTCACCTGAGCTCCTTTTGGTCCAGTCTCACCTACTTTTCCTCTTTGACCCTGATCACCCTTTAAAAATCGAAAAACAATATAAATCTATACGTTTTATTTCACGCATTCATTAACAAAAACAAATCAACCAACAACTTGTAAAACGTAAAAAGGGACCTGTGAAGATAATATTAAAGGAACATGCCACTATTTTTGAAAATAGGCTCATTTTCCAACTCCCCTAGAGTTAAACAGTTGAGTTTTACCGTTTTCGAATCCATTCAGCCGATCTCCGGGTCTGGCGGTAGCACTTTTAGCTGTAGCTTAGCATAGATCATTGCATCTGATTAGACCGTTAGCATCTCGCTCAAAAATGACTTCAGAGTTTCGATATTTTTCCTATTTAAAACTTGACTCTTCTGTAGTTACATCGTGTACTAAGACCGACAGAAAATGAAAAGTTGGGATTTTCTAGGCCGATATGGCTAGGAACTATACTCTCATTCCGGCGTAATAATCAAGGAACTTTGCTGCCGTACCATGAGTGCAGCAGGCACAATGATATTACGCAGCGCCTGAAAATAGTTCCCAGCTAGATAATAGGAAAAATATCTCAACTCTTTGGTCATTTTTGAGCGAGATGCTAACAGTCTAATCAGATTCAATGATCTATGCTAAGCTACAGCTAAAAGTGCTACCGCCAGACCCGGAGATCGGCTGAATGAATTCGAAAATGGTAAAACTCAACTGTTTAACTCTAGGGGAGTTAGAAAACGAGCCTATTTTCAAAAATAGTGGCGTGTTCCTTTAACATTAATGTAAATAAATGATAGGTACAAGTACAGATGCATGTTTAAAAATGTGGTTAAAGGCCAAAACTTTGCTGTGACTTGATTTTGCCACTTACAGGAGCGCCCTGAATACCCTGAGGGCCCAGGTCGCCAACATTTCCACGGGGTCCCTAATGGGCAAGAAAATACATTTGGTCATTTCAAAAGATATCATTGTTATTTATTTAGATATGAAGATCTAGGGCTGGGTTTTGATGATTTTTGATGAATTTCACAATTCGATTCGATTTTGATCCACGAGCTTGCTCGATATCGGTTATTTTGGATATATCAGGTACAGTACATGTCAAAGTTTCTCAAGGAATAAAAAATCTCTCAATTAATGCTGTAAAATATACCTGAGAGTCAGTTGGTACTACATTACTATAATATTGAAGGTTAAGATTAACTGATTTGTATACAAACACTTAAATTACGTAAGTTATAAGTTTTCATAATAATAAAGCAATAATACTAACTTTACAATTACATAATTATATTTCTACTCCGAATCATTTTTTGAAATGTAAACATTAAAATGGTGGCCATCATAAAAACTTGACAGATTTATTCAAACAAAAATTAATTACTGAGGAACAGTGAAAATTATAATGTTATATGGTGCATATGTTTAGCAAAATGTCTTAATTTCACTTCATTTCTGGTAATATTGTCGACTCGATTGCACAGATATTTGAACTGAACTGAGCTGGACGATGACACCACTTGACCAATGATAAACTGACTCTAACTGGAAAATTGAGTGATTACTTTTGTCCTCTTGCATTATCGACACGCTACTTTCCTGTTTAATACTGTAAATCTGCTTTGACACATTGTATAAAACGCTATATAAATAAAGGTGACTTCAGCAAATGGGCCTGTCACTCCACATTGAACATATTGTTTGAATATTGTAATAAAATGGACAGAATTTGAAATCTGAGACTTTGTTTTATATCAAAAGTAACAAAGCACAGACCTTACTGCGATTTATTGGATGGGAGGCGTGCTACAATGTTGCGTTCATTAAACGGAAAAAGGCTAGACTAATCGATTCTTAGGATTTAAGAATTTTTTTTTTTTTTTACCCAGCCCAACTTTTGACCCTCACCCTGTCCCCTTTAGGGCCCATCATCCCTGTGATTCCTCTGAGACCCTGTGGACCCTATAATAACAAAACAAGCACACAAAGAGATGTTGAGTGACAGCACTCTCACGCCTGACACAAACAAAGAACAGTAGATAAGTAATGTCTTTTTTTACAGGAAGGCCTTGTGCTCCTGGCTCTCCAGGTGCTCCCTGGTCTCCTTCTTCACCCTGTAAGATGTAAGAAAAAAGCTAGCTTAATTATTCTAACAATGATGTTGTGCTGTGGGCCTCAATTTGATACATTAATTATTTGTCACAAAGGAATCACGCCAAGCTTGACCTATGCAACTGTCACCTTATGTCCTTGCCTTCCTGGTTCACCTGATTCACCTTTGACACCTTTGTGGCCCTAAAGATGAACAAAGCACCAGAATGAGCAATACTTGTTTGAGCATCCAGAAAGTTTCAAATTTCAAACTTACCTTCATGCCTGGAAGACCTGTATAACCATTCAGGCCAGAAGTACAGGCATTTGGGCACTGAGAAACATAACAAAGACAGATCAATTAGCAGAAACATTGATGATAAAGATTTAGAATACTTATGACTACTTGAATTATTGAAAATATTTCATACTATGTTTCATCTAATTGAAAACATTTACATGCCAACCTGTCATCAAGTGTGATGTTGTGGTGTTTGTTCACTTTTAGTTTTGAAGAACATAAGCTAAAGGTCAAATACCTTTATGAATGAATGAATGAAATGAAATGAATGTTCCATGAATGTACAATTCCATAGTAATCATCTATAATAGGAATGTTTTTGAAAACATCACTCAGTTGTTGTCTAAAAAGGCTACCAGATATGAGACTTGAGGATACATACCAGCTCCTTACCATCCCAGACTCCAGGAGGGCCCTATGTATAGAAGGAATATAGTTTAACAGTAGCCATTTATGAATCCAGGATATCAGTGAATGATCATTAAGATCTAAACATTACTTACTCCGGGCCCTGCCAGTCCTGGATCACCAACAGGACCTCTCGGTCCACGACTTCCCTTTACAGCAGAACCAGAGACAGATACTCCAATTTATTATTCATCTATTTGATTTTGATTTGTTTTTGGATCGGTGTATAATGGAATAATGTTACGTACAGGAGGTCCAGCTTTGCCCAGCTCTCCAGGTAACCCATCTTCCCCATCAGCACCCTTCAGTAGAAAAGAAAAACAATTAAACAGCCTATTCTTGAATAACAAAAGAACAATGTACTAATAATGTCCCCGATTAAAAAGACTAAACAACAATAAAATGCACTCACAGCTTCACCATCCTCTCCAACACCCTGTTAACAAAGTAACAGATGTGCAATGACACCAAATTAGCAAGGAAAAAAAATCTTGCAGCATTACATCACAGAATACACTAGAAGGTCATAGGCCTGAACTTTATCAAATGACCTAATGCTTGCAACAGCTCAGAGTGTGTACAGTCATCTGGTCACTGTTTAAACCGATATATTTTTGCATAATAACAAACTAACTGGACAGAAAACATCCCTATTAAGCTGTGATTATTCTAGCAGCACACTAAAATTACAGAATTTGAAGCATTTACTTACAATGGCTCCCCTTGGTCCCGGCTCACCAGGTTCACCCTGATAAGGAATAAATGTCAAACCACAGGATCTTTTAAGTGCACTTTAATGATTTAGAGGTAATTCTTTAACTTCTTCAAATGAAGCATCACTAATACTACTGTAAAATTCAGCCATTCACAATAAAGACCTAATTTGTTAAAAATGCATCTATGTGCACTTTTACTTATTATTAACTGAAAAGTGAAATAATAAGTGGAATTTAATATTTAGTGTGAACTTACTTTTTGTCCAGGAGGGCCAACAGGGCCAGGGGCACCACGGGGCCCAGTCAAACCCTTAGGAAGAAACAACCATCTATCAGCACGGGCTTCACTTTAACTGACTGTAGATCAAATGTCCGTTACTTTATTCACTGAACTGATTGCTGAACTAATGTTATTGTGATACAGCTGCAGAATTTCAGAGCTCATTATTTCACTTTGATAATATTGTTTGAAACATATTGTGTGAAATTAATTAATTGCCTCAGACACACTGACCAATCATAAATGACATTTACCAATCCCCTGACTTTGACAAGTAGCAAACCCCGCCCACATTTTCTCTAATATATGTACAGCAGACCACTGCAGATACCTGTATTCAACACTTTAAGGAAAACAGGAAACATCTCTAAGGGAATAGGAAGCATATCTATATCTATAAGTGACAGCCATTTTTATATAACATTATGCATATAGAATGCTTTAGAATTCATTTTTTTACTTAAATTATTTGCATCAGTAATAATACAATAGAACCATTCATACAAAAAATAAATCAGTTTTTTGTACAAATAATGCCAACATGATAGGCTCATAATGCAACCAAAAATATAACATCTTTATAGCTGTTTTTTTAACAGTAATGTTTAAATAATAGGCTACTCTGCAAAAAAAAATAAAAAAATCTAATCAGTTATTTTTCTAGGAAAAATATTTAAATGTCCTTTAAGGAAAATAAAGAAGATAATTTACTTTAGAAGCAAAAAAAAAAAAGATTTTAAAGCTTGTCTTCATTCATGCTTTAAACAAGAAAATATATTTGCCAGGGGTGTAAGAATTAATTCATGATATAATGTCTGGAATTAGTCTCTTAATATCTTAGATTCCAGTTCTCGAGTAAATATATACAGTATGAACACAAGACAACAAGATTTTTGCTGTGATTAATTATAGCACTAGCTAAATTCTAAAGCTCAGGGGAGTCACAAAGCAGTCGGTGTACTTCGGTTTAATGCTCAGTCCAGTACACAGTTCAGCTCCCGTGGCTCCATACTTGTACAAAAAGGCCTCTGTCTTCATCAGGAAGCCAATATGGGGCTCTCTCTGCTTACTCTTTCCTCTCCTCTCTGGTTCTTTTTTCCATCCAGGAGCTTTTTTTTTATTCAGACCCCTCCAATGCAAACTACACTCACAGGCTCTGATGCTGCAAGTGTTAATTAGAAAAGAAAAGCTGATTTTATCTTGGTTTCTAGACCTTTACAGAAATAAAGAACAAGACTCACATCCGCTCCTGGTTTTCCTGGAAGGCCATTTAATCCATCCTTGCCATTGTCCCCATCAAGGCCCTGACGGATTCATCAGATTAATGGACTGGTTGCTCATCATTTCAGCTATGCAGAATTATTTTTGTTGCGAAAAATATAAATACTTACTGGGGGGCCATCTGGGCCAGGGCCAGGTCCCCTATCACCCTGAAATCATACGAAATACTAACTAAATAACTCAAATAAAAGTTGTTATTCGAGGCTACAAGAATATACCATACTGTAAGCTAAGAAATCAGAGAATCTCTGAGGAATTAAATAGATAGATAGATAGATAGATAGATAGATATGTGACTCACATCAATGCCGTCAACACCAGAAAAACCAGGAAGCCCTGGAGGTCCAGGTGGTCCTCTTGGACCAACTGGCCCCCTCTAAAAAAAATACAACAATAATAATAATAACAGAAATGCATTTACAAAAACAAACCTCCGCTTGCTTAAAATTGATCCTGCAATCCCAATAGTTTAGTCTTCAGGACAATGAATTCTTTGTAGGTGTGACTGATGCTGTGGTTAGAGGTATCACACTGGCTCTCTCTTATCCTGGGAAAGTGATAACAGCTGTGCACACCTGGACCATTTTACTGAAAATATCTTCCATATGTCAAGCAATGCTCTCAGATGCTTGCAAATTCAGATACACTAAATTAAGAAATATATGACATACAGTTCATAAATAGTGCATATGTGGAAAAAACAATCTTTGGTGCTTTAGTAGCCTATATATTATTTAATAATGTCTCATCAAACATTCTTTTTCTGTCTATATATTTTTAATGTTTTTGTCTATTTTTTTTTTTTTACTATTAAGATATTTTAAAAAGCATACATTGACCCCAAACACCCACACGGTTCATCTCTAGTGCAAAAAAAGCCATTGTTTCCTACCTGTGCTGAGATGATCAGGACTAACTGCAGTAAAATCAGCAGCAGCGACGCGCGGAGAGCCCCGGCGTGCGCCATAGTCACCCTGATGACTTGAAGGAGGCAAAATAGTCCTTTTTAGGAGATTTGTTGGGGTCCACGGGTTTTGTGTCAATATTCCCCAACTAAACCTCCACACCATCTACCAGTCTCTCAATGTAGTATTAAAAAGTTATGTTTATTCATGAGCCGCGCTGGGAACTGGAAGGTGATTGGATAGGAGCTCAAAGCTTTGCGTAAAATGGGCGTGGCTCAGGCTCGGATACCTGCTGTGGGTACCGCACGTAAACCTATCAAAGTAGGGTCATATTTAAAGCTGATTCAGTGTTAGTAAATTATTCTTTAAAATAATTTGATTGTTTTTATTTTATTAATTTTTTTTGACAGGCTGTTAGTACGGTACAGCTTCGTACAAAAATTAAATATAGTAACAACAGCCAAATTCCATTGTAACTATAATAATGTTTTATGCATAGGAAACATGGCGAGCTGTTATTTGAAGGGAAATTAAGGATACCTGCTGTGGGTACCGCACGTAAACCTATCAAAGTAGGGTCATATTTAAAGCTGATTCAGTGTTAGTAAATTATTCTTTAAAATAATTTGATTGTTTTTATTTTATTAATTTTTTTTGACAGGCTGTTAGTACGGTACAGCTTCGTACAAAAATTAAATATAGTAACAACAGCCAAATTCCATTGTAACTATAATAATGTTTTATGCATAGGAAACATGGCGAGCTGTTATTTGAAGGGAAATTAAAATGACGTGAAAATGAAAGCTTCTTAAACTGTTTAAACGAGATGCCATATGTTATAACAGATTTTATATTTATTTGCAAGGGACAGTAAAACAAATTTTTATCTATATATATTATTAAATCAAGTAAATAATCGGTAGATGGCTCAAAAAAAAAGAAAAAGAAATAAATAAAAAAAGAATAGCAGTCTCCCATACGCCAGAGGGCGCTTAAAGCTGTTAATGGCGCGGTTTCTTACTCTTGTATCTTTGTATTTTGAAAACAGCAACCGACGCCGTTGTCCTGGTACTGAAGACAACAGTTATCAAACCTAACCCTTTAAAAAGGTGAGAAAACATTTTGCTTTAAACTTCCTTAATGTTTTCGTTTCATATGTTACCACAACAGCCTTCTACAGTATGAACGTTGCTTTCAGTGAGGAAGAAATATTTTGTTGAGATTTGTTTACGCTTAGTTAGCAGATAGACGTTTTCTCTTGAGGAATACGACGTAACGTTATTTGACTGATATCGTCTGTTTTGTCATTAAAAGATGGAGAGTCTAGACTTTTCTGAGGAGGAGATCCAGCAGCAGTTGGCTGCACTTGGATACAGAAATATTCCCAAACAAAGACTGCGGGAATTCAAGAGAGGTGGGATAATATTTTGAACTGTTTCAGCTTCATCGGTGCATTTATTTTGCATTTTATTTTCATGTCATGTAACATATGTTGCCTTAAAGTAGTGCTGTCCTGTTATACTGTAAATCTCCATCAGATCTAGATCAGCTGATTTGTCATGAAAAGTCAAAGAGTCACAGCTCCACTGACTGGACTTCTCCAACATATCACAGCAACTCCAGCAGAAGTCCACCTGCAATTATTAAAGAAAAGGGTGAGCAGTCACTCCTGCTTCATGCTGTGCACTTTCATATGACATTTTTGAACATGCTTAACCAACCTACTGCTAAATTTGTGTTTCTCCCTCAGTTCAGTTGAACCACATCGGCCCCAGTTGTAACTACGTCCTCTTCAACACCAGCTCAGCAGGGCAACACAGAGAGGTATGAGTTTTTACACACCTTAAAAACATATCATAATTTTTGACTATGCGCACAATATGTATGTTTTCCATACCTAGATTTTCTCCTCCACGTTTAATGAGGACGATCATAGAGACTCTGGTATGAATCACTACTATGATTCGTATTCACGGCACACAGTTGCTCAAAGACCGGCTCGGCCCTCCACGGCACCCAACAGGCTGGAGACAGAGGCAGGGCCTTCTGAAATATTTCACTCTGTTTTGGATGGTAGTGAGACAACAAGTCCTGACAGAGAACATCAGGTTCATTTGAAGCCTGTGATTAAAAGGAAAGTGTTAAGGTAGGGACACAAATGAATTTCTTCATTTGATGGACAACATAATCAGCCATGCAATAAACATGCAATGTGCAAAAGAAATCATTATCTGATATCTCATTATATAGGAAGCATCAAGGTCGGTCTCAAGTCTGTGATGAGTCCACGCATAGTGAAGATTCTGGTAAGTCCTGTGGTTATATTTTATGATAATGGTGAGAATGGAAAAGTAATAAACATCTTACTAAATGCTGCAATGCTTATACTGTATACTGCTAACCATTAAAAAATAGAATGTGAAATAGAATGAATCATGCAAAAGTAACATATTATGTTATTTTTATATTATGTCATCATAATGCATCTACAGAACCAATTCTGTAGGACGTTCTATGTACACAGAAAAACTGCATGTTGTGCACAATATACACTACCTTTCAAAGGCTTCATTAGGCTGCATTTTGTCTAAATTAAAATAATTAAAATAAAATTCTATAAAAACAGTAATAATGGGATATATTATTAAGGAAAACTTGAAATCGCATCATATGACCCCTTTAAAATTACCTTTACATTTAGTCATTTTGCAGACACTTTTATACAAAGCGACTTACAATTGGGGAATACATAAAGCTATTCAGCATCATTACTCTAGTCTTCAGTGTCACATGATCCTTCAGAAATAATTCTATTATGCTAATTTGGTGGTCAAATAACATTTCTTAGTATTATCAATGTTGAAAGCAGTTGTACAGCTTCATACTTTTATGGAAACACTAGATTCTCTGAATAAAATATAAAGGATTCATTTATTTAAAAAAAAAAACGTACTGACTCCAAAAATTTGAACAGTAGCTTTCATATTATATTCTGAAATGTGGTATGGTAGTGTTCTTTTCCGAACATAGCCATGCATTGTCTTTACATGCAGTGAAACCTCCTATACACCAGGTGGCGCAATCAGCTGCATAATCCCAGTAAAGTTCTTACCGGTAATCTTCTTAGTTACACTCCCCCTCCCTCTCAGCCATCTGCTTCACTCAGAAGTGAAGTTCATTTTCTTACTGAGGGCTAAAGAAGAGATCTGTCCATCTACCTCAGGATGTATAAAGCTTTTGACAGCCGTTGGGAAAATGAAAGCAAGGACGATGAAGGATCTCTGCCCTCTTCCTCCTTCTGGACAGATCAGGAAAGTGAGAGGGAAGACAGGGACTGTGTTAAGAAAGAAAACAGAGCGAATGAGAGAAAGCCTGAAGAAGACCATAAGGATGTCAAAGAAAGCTTTTTAATGGGAGGTGATAAAAAGAAGAGGGTGAAGGAGATGCTTCAAGGAAATGAGTTGGGGAATGAGAAATATCCTGAGGAAGATGAAAGTGAAGTAGAGAGAGAATGTTTCATAGATGATGAAAATAAAAACAGCGTAGAGATAACAACAACAACGCAAGAAGAGGAGGAAGAAAGTGAAAAGGAGGAGGAAGAATGTGGAGAGGAGGAGGAGGAAAGTGGAGAGGAGGAGGAAGAAGAAAGTGAAGAGGAGGAAGAAGGAAGTCAAGATGAGAAAGAAGAGCTGTGTGAACAACAGACAGGAAATGAAAAGGAGGAAGAGGAGGACGCAAAAGAAAGTGAAGAGGAGGAAAAAGGAAAAGAGCTTGAAGAGGAAGAAGAATTTGAGCTGTGTGAAAAGGGGGAAGGGAATAAAAAGGAAGAGGAAGAGTCAGAAGAAAGTGAGGAGGAAGAGGATATGAGTGAGGATGAAAAGGACAATGAGGAGGAGAAAGAAAGCTCTGCCAGTGCAGAAAACACTGAAGAAAATGAAGAGACAAAAGCCCAAAGTGATGATTCAGAGGGCGAGAAAGATCAGGTGAGTTTGAAGGAGAGTGAAGAAGAGGAGTCTTTTTCAAAAGAAGACTCAACAAGTGAAGAAAAGTGTACAGGTGAGTTATCAGAGTGTGAGGAAAAGAAAGAGAGCCTCACCAAGCAAGAGATCTCAAGTGGAGGTGGAGAGCAAAATAGCCATTTTTCAAGGGAAGGCGAACAGGAGGAAGGAAATGAAGGAGCTAATGTACGTTGCATACCTGAAGATAGTGAAGGCACTGAGGGAAAAATAGATGGTGGTAAATCTTTGGTGAAGGAAGAGAGAACAAGAAATTCTGAAAGCGAGGGATCAGAGAATAGTAAACAGAGAGCACCTAACAATGAGGTAGAAGAGCGAAACGACAGTACAGAGGAAAACCCTAAAAGCGATGAGGAGAGGAATTATGGAAATGAATATGACGAAGAGACTGAGATTGGTAAGAGCAGGCCTGGAGCAGATGAATGTGATTATTGGATGGAAGAAGTGAAACTACACAATTCAGGTGAAGAGGATGATGAAGTATCAAAAGGAGGCAGTGAGGAAGAAGAGGAGAGAGAGTGGTTTTTCAATGAACCTGTTGAGGAGAAGGAGGCTTGTGACCAGGACAGGAAGTCATGGGCAAGTGATGATGACTATGTTACAATAGCCAGTGGCCATTCGCAGAAAGAAGAGGAAGAGAATGATAACATGATGCCTGCTTGGGAACAAGAGCGCGGTGATGTACAGCAGACGAAGGAAACTAGAGACGTTTATGTTGAGGATTTTCATGAAAGTCTGGGCAGCCCTGCGGCAAGCGTTTTAACTTCCGGTTACGGCACGTACAGACCAGACTCGCCTAAAGACGGAGACCCAGAGGAAGTGGATTATAGAGACGACTGCACTCTGGGTGGATTAGAAGAAGAGAGCCAATCGATCTTAGATGCTCGTGATTACGAGGATGACAGCGGTCCGGCGTGGTTCAGAGACGATCAAGCATTAGAAACATCTGATGGACGAGCTCCTGCTGAAACACCGGATGGTAGTCGAGATGTAACCGTCTGCACTGATCAAAGCCATGATGGATCTGAAGATGATGGCCGTCGGTCTCCTGATCAAACCGAGCAGCACCAGAGTCCCGCAGAGGACGACACTGGAACTCGAGATGGAGGCTCTGAGAATGTGTCATATTTCAGTGGCGGTTGGGACAGTCTTGACCACCCCTTTAATTTGAGGCACAGGAGAGTTATAGTTCAAAAGAGACCTGAGGAGAAACAGTACGATGATGGATATGATGACAGCAAGAAGAGGAGGAAGGAGAAAAGAGTCCGAGCTTATACTGGCTGCCTTGGTGTGTTACACTGCTTAAAGAGAATGACTTATTTTGTAGTTTTTAGAGGTGTGACTGTGGAGGAAACAGAAGAAACGCGTGTATTTATCTTTTACCCATGCATATATATATATATATATATATATATATATATAATGTATATATATGTGTGTGTGTGTGTTTAATTAAAAAACCAACATCTATACACTACTGTTAAAAAGTTTGGGGTTGGTAAAATTCAAATTTTAAAGTAGTTTTGTTTTGTTTTGTCGTTTTTGGAAGAAGTCTCTTATATTCACCAAGGCTGCATTTATTTGGCCAAAAATACAGTAAAAAACAAAAACCAGGACCATTGTGAAATATTATTACAATTTAAAATTACTTTTATTTTTTCATATATTTTAAAATGTAATTTATTCTTTTGATGGCAAAGCAGAATTTTCAGCATCATTACTCCAGTCTTCAGCATCATATGATCATTCAGAAATCATTATAATATACAGATTTTTTTACTTTGTTATTATTATTATCAATGTTGTAAACGGTTTTGCTGCTTATTTATTTAGTGGAAACCATGATACTTTTTTTCATGATGTTTAGATGGAAAAAAAAAAGTTTTTTAAAGGAACAGCCTTCATTTGGAATAGAAATCATTGTAGACGTTATTATAGATTTGGTATGTTTAAGATGCGTGTAATCATTTGTTTTGTAGGTGCAGTTAGTGAGCTGGAGGAGCGTTTGGACCAAATGCGGATTGGTGCATCTCGTGTGCACTACGACTCAGAGAGTGAAGAAAGCGGAAGCTATACTGACAGATCCAGCTCTGTGACGGAGGAACCCCCGAGTGCTTTCCAAGAATACATCAAAGGCATGGTCAGTACACAGACACTTTCACACTGACCAGTCTTAAACAGTTTTGAGTTTAAACATACATTTGTCCATTCCACAGACACGATCACACAGCGAGAGCGATATCCGACCACGTCCAAAGTCATGCAAGTCCCATTTTCAAGTCTAGTTTCAGTTCATGCCCGTTTCTTTGATCTTGGGTTGTCAGTTAACATGCTTTTACAAAATCTGATTCTCTTCACAGTTATACGGCCACTTTTTGATCATCCTCACACAAGGAACTTGAAGAAAACTGATCCAGTGGCAAAGTATGGCGTACTTCTGTATTTATATATAACCTTCATAAATGAAATAAATGATTCAGGACTCTGATCTTTTTGTTGTTCTGAATGCGTTTGGATCCTTTATCAGGTATTTCCAGTATAAGCAGGACTGGGAGATGTTTAAACCTCCAGGAGAGAAGAGCAGGAAGGAGCTGCACTGGGCCATCAGGGTATCATAAATCACATTGCTAACCCAACAGCCAGTGCTCCACCCAGACATCTGATCTGATCATCTTCAGTCTGTCTGGAATGACATGAAGAAACAGAACAAACTGAGACAGACTCAATCCAGAAGAACTGTGGCAACATCTCCAAGATGCTTCAAGAAACCTTTCTGCGATGCTACCTGAAAACTATGCGCAAGTCTATCTAGGACAATAGCTGTTTTAAACACAAAGGATGCTCACACCAAATGTTGATTTGATTTAGTTAACAGATGTTAATTCATAAAGAAAATCTATTTATGACATTATTTTTGAAAGCATCCTCATTTTACAGCACTTTTCCACAAGTGCCTAAAACTTTACTGTAGATTTGCAGGAAGGTTTCTTGAAGCATCTTGGAGACGTTGCCACAGTTCTTCTGGATTGAGTCTGTCTCAGTTTGTTCTGTTTCTTCAGGTCACTCCAGACAGACTGGATGATGATCAGATCAGATCTGTGTGGAGCACTGGCTGTCGTCAGACAAAAATCTCACTGGATTATTAAAATTAATGGCAAAATGAATGTTTGGGAATGTAAACTGATATTTCCTACTGACACACTACAGCAAAAGATTGAAATAACTGACTTTAAACCATTTTTTGGTTGGTGAAAATATTAATGGCCTAAGCCTTTTGCACAGTAGCATATATATAACGTTATATAAATTGTAGATTACTTTTATTTTAAATATATATACTTTTGTTTTTATCCTCAGGAACAACTTATGTATCAGCCTCCACCAGTAAGTTTCATTATATATTTATATTTTTGAAAGAATTTCCTAGATTCTCTTATTCGGAGTGCTTTTTCTTGTCTCTATAGCAGAGACCTCAGAAGACGTACATCCCCAACAATTATGTGGTTCCAACAGAGAAGAAGCGATCTGCACTAAGATGGGAGATCCGACATGATTTAGCACATGGCATTATCCCAACAAAAATCTCCTATCCTTAACACAGAGAATCTTCCACCTATGCCTTATCTTATATATATATATATATATGCTTAATGCTATTATTTATTCATGATATTGACATTTTTTTACTCCATTGTACATGTGAAATGAGATTTCAAGATCATTGTTTTTATGAAATAAACATTTTAATACTTTGAAGTGTGTGCTGTGTTCATGGCAGGTCACTGTATGGGAGTTTGAAGGGATACAGGGGAGCGTAACGCACATCGTGCCACAGAAGCTTCTTTTCAAGAAATTTTACAGCCTCCAGAGTGAGAACCAGACTCTCATGTTTCAACATGCTGTGGACGTTCAGACCTGAAAAACAAAACAAGGAGCTTTGATGCAAACGTTTCATTCCCTTATGTTTGATTTCACATTACAGCTTTTGGTGTGGTCAGATTGTTTACCTATAGCTGGAATGATATTCACTGTTTTCATATCTTCAGTCACCTTAAGAATGTTCTGAGGGAATTCATCACCTCTGAAATTGATGCAAACCAAAAAATATTTTTAAAAAAATGAAGAAATTAAGGAAACAAGCATGTATATCAGGTTGGTAATGGCATATACATTCACTTTTGCATACTTACACGTCAACGATGAGGACTGAATCCCCCCACTGCCTGTGTTTGACCAGGTCCAGCAGGTAGTGGGGGTCTGGAGTGGGAATCTCCAGTGAGTCCACAATATGAAGATAATCCTGGAGAAAAAGTGACTTCCACTTAGTTTGCATTTTTTCGTCTTAACTGAATATTATGAACCAAACCAATTTGCTGCCCTCACTAACAAGTGCATCAGTGAAAACTTAAATAAAATATAAATCTTAAGATGAAAAATGTAACAAAAAATTAGAATCTAACTAAAAATAGAAATATATAACTACAAAAAACACATAAGCAAGCACATAACTAAAACAAGCTAAAAATATAAACATACAAGCTGATTAAAAATATGAATAAATACTTTAATTGTACATAATGCAGCACGTTCCAAACCAAGCGAGATTTTTACAGTGCACTTCCCCTCACCTGAGCCAGCTTGGCCGTTAAGGCGATTTTCAGCCCTTGCACTCGCACCTTCATGGGCAACATGTAATAATAGCTGCTTGGTCCCCGAGGACCATGAGCTACTCCTCCTGAACGAGAAAGAGGAGCACTTGTTTAGGAATTTAGTGAGCCCACTGGTAATGTCATACACCTGTGTGTTTAAGATGATGCTCAAACGAACAGACTTTATCTTACCTCCTCTCCACAGTGGAGAACGAATGCTTCCATGTCGTGCCCGGCCACTTCCTTTCTGATTCCATGGCTTCCTGCCTCCACCGCTGACTTCAGCTCTTGATTTGACTTTTGCATGGCTCTACAGCCATACAATTATATATGATTATCATATGCAATGATTCAATATGACTTAAGTTTCTAGAACATGACAGGGACGGTATCTTAAAGGAATAGTTCATCCAAAAATTAAAATTAGCAGAAAATTTACTCACTCTCATGCCATTGAAACTGTACAAGAGTTTGCTTCTTCATCTCTACATTTGAAGTAATGTAGCATTAGATCACTTGCTCACCAATGGATCCTCTGCAGTGAATGGGTGCCGTCAGATTGCGAGTCAAAACAGCTGATAAATACATCACAATGATCCACTCCAGTCCATCAATTAACATCTGGTGAAGTGAAAAGCTTGGCAGGTCACTGTATGGGAGTTTGAAGGGATACAGGGGAGCGTAACGCACATCGTGCCACAGAAGCTTCTTTTCAAGAAATTTTACAGCCTCCAGAGTGAGAACCAGACTCTCATGTTTCAACATGCTGTGGACGTTCAGACCTGAAAAACAAAACAAGGAGCTTTGATGCAAACGTTTCATTCCCTTATGTTTGATTTCACATTACAGCTTTTGGTGTGGTCAGATTGTTTACCTATAGCTGGAATGATATTCACTGTTTTCATATCTTCAGTCACCTTAAGAATGTTCTGAGGGAATTCATCACCTCTGAAATTGATGCAAACCAAAAAATATTTTTAAAAAAATGAAGAAATTAAGGAAACAAGCATGTATATCAGGTTGGTAATGGCATATACATTCACTTTTGCATACTTACACGTCAACGATGAGGACTGAATCCCCCCACTGCCTGTGTTTGACCAGGTCCAGCAGGTAGTGGGGGTCTGGAGTGGGAATCTCCAGTGAGTCCACAATATGAAGATAATCCTGGAGAAAAAGTGACTTCCACTTAGTTTGCATTTTTTCGTCTTAACTGAATATTATGAACCAAACCAATTTGCTGCCCTCACTAACAAGTGCATCAGTGAAAACTTAAATAAAATATAAATCTTAAGATGAAAAATGTAACAAAAAATTAGAATCTAACTAAAAATAGAAATATATAACTACAAAAAACACATAAGCAAGCACATAACTAAAACAAGCTAAAAATATAAACATACAAGCTGATTAAAAATATGAATAAATACTTTAATTGTACATAATGCAGCACGTTCCAAACCAAGCGAGATTTTTACAGTGCACTTCCCCTCACCTGAGCCAGCTTGGCCGTTAAGGCGATTTTCAGCCCTTGCACTCGCACCTTCATGGGCAACATGTAATAATAGCTGCTTGGTCCCCGAGGACCATGAGCTACTCCTCCTGAACGAGAAAGAGGAGCACTTGTTTAGGAATTTAGTGAGCCCACTGGTAATGTCATACACCTGTGTGTTTAAGATGATGCTCAAACGAACAGACTTTATCTTACCTCCTCTCCACAGTGGAGAACGAATGCTTCCATGTCGTGCCCGGCCACTTCCTTTCTGATTCCATGGCTTCCTGCCTCCACCGCTGACTTCAGCTCTTGATTTGACTTTTGCATGGCTCTACAGCCATACAATTATATATGATTATCATATGCAATGATTCAATATGACTTAAGTTTCTAGAACATGACAGGGACGGTATCTTAAAGGAATAGTTCATCCAAAAATTAAAATTAGCAGAAAATTTACTCACTCTCATGCCATTGAAACTGTACAAGAGTTTGCTTCTTCATCTCTACATTTGAAGTAATGTAGCATTAGATCACTTGCTCACCAATGGATCCTCTGCAGTGAATGGGTGCCGTCAGATTGAGAGTCAAAACAGCTGATAAATACATCACAATAATCCACTCCAGTCCATCAATTAACATCTGGTGAAGTGAAAAGCTGGAAGTTTATAAGAAACAAACTCGTTATTAAGGCGTTTTAAATTTAAACCAACACTTCTTGCCATAATTTGAAACAATGCTTCCTCCATTAAAAACGTTTATCCTAGGGCTGGGTCGATATAGCTAAAAAATGTATCAACGATGTAATGTTTCATATCGTTCGGTATCGATAGTTATTAACATTTTTTATAACCTTTTTTAAAACAAAGAGCAATAGAATTATTTTTTTTTATTTAATCACTGTATTTTTTTAATTAACCCAATTTATTGAGACAAACAACAAATATTTTTAGTTTTAACAGTCAAACACACAATAAAAATTAAACAAATATCTAATTTCTAATGTTTTATATGCAGATTAAATAGGTCTTAAGGAAACTTTTGGCTTGTCTCCCGAGGCCACAGGAGGGCGCAATGAGCAAAATAATGCAGCACATTTAAATTGTCAACGCAAGGAAATAAATGTCTATTAAAAAAAAACGTGCATTACGTCTAAATTAACTCATAAAAATCAAACATAATTTCGTAAATTGCATAAACAATTATGAACAAAACAGCATCATGTATTTATGCATTGCTTAACACAAAGAGCCGAATCGCCCATTATGCATATTGCATTTAAAAACAAAAGCGACGCAGTGAAACGGAATAAACCTCCACAAATTCACGATGTGTTTTCTAAATGTTTAAACTGTTTTAACTTTGCATGGCTACATTGTGTGAGACGCGAGCGCAGCAGTCATATTTGTCCATCTAAAAATGCACTGAATATGCGTTCTGTGTAAATGGCTTGGTTTTGACCTAATAAAGTTCTTCTCCGCATTGAGCTACTATATTTCTCTAATATTTTGAATGAATAACGCAGCAGCGGCGCGTCTCGTGGGCTAGACTAACAAAACATTAAAATGCAACAACGTCACTTACATCATCACCGTATCTCGTGCGCCACTGATGACGTTTTCTGACGCACTCCTAACATTCAAATGCAAATGTTTATTTCAAATTCAAATAATATTCTTTTTTTTTTTATTCACAATCTTCTCATCACAGGCAAGCACAGCACTCAATTCAGCACGTGTTCGTGTGTGCTGTCTGCGTCACTCATAGCATGTGCCTATATCGTGCGCTATATCCAACAGTTTTTCTATCGTTATCGAAGGTGTACTGTCGATAAATATCGATACCGTTTTATCGCCCAGGCCTAGTTTATCCCGTTGTCTTCTAATATCAAAATCCACTCACATATTTGTATAGCACTGTTTTGTTTTTGTTTGAAAACGGTGCTTGATCTGAAGAAAGCAATTTCATGGATAGAGGACTTGTATTTTAGCCAGAAGCAGTGGCTTTGTTTCTTACAAACACAGCTTTTCGTGGTGTGGTGTGGATTATTGTGATGTTTTTATCAGCTGTTTGGACTCTCATTCTGACGGCACCCATTCACTGCAGAGGATCCGTTGATGAGCAAGTGATGGAATGCTAAATACTCCCAAATCTGTCCAGAAGAAGCAGCAAACTCATCTACATCTTAGATATTGAGCAAATTTCCATTTTTGGGGGAACTATACCTTTAATGCACATTACAAGAGCAAAGTTAACACCAGAGAGCATAATGTGCACCTCATAGTTACTTACTATTCGTTTGAAATTACGTTGCCAGACCTCTACAGCATGAAGAATGTCCAGCCTTTTAATAGAAAAACAAAAACTATCATATATTCATTTGTTTGCAACATAACTCCAGACCAAAAATCCTTCATAGAACTAAATAGTTTACCTAAGAGGTACTGAGAAGACATCAGGGTGCAGGTCAACCACACCAAGGGGTTCACTGTCACGACTTCCCAAAGACTCAAGCCACGTCTGAGCCGGTGCCAGGTGAGCTGGGATATCAGCCTCGCACCTGCGCAGCACTGGAAGATCAGAGCTGGATGGAAAAGCCCTCTCTAAAACCATTCAGACCCGTTTAGTTCACCAATATGTCACATGCCTTATAAAATTACATTGTTGCAGTTCAAAAAACGAACAAAAATTTACCATGGGAAGTTCCTGTCAAAACTTAAGTTGTTATTACTGTAAAACAATATTATGGCAATATACACTACCGTTGAAAAGTTTGGGATCAGTAAGATTTTCAATGTTTTTTAATGAAGCTTCTTTTGCTCATCAAGGCTGTGTTTATTTGATCAAAAATACAGAATAAAATAATAATTTTGTGAAATATTATTGCAATTTAAAATAACAGTTTCTATTTTAATATACTTTAAAATATAATTTATTCCTGTAAAGCAAAGCTGAATTTTCAGCATCATTACTCCAGTCTTCAGTGTCACATGATCCTTCAGAAATCATTCTGATTTATTATCAATGCTTGAAACAGTTGTGCTGCTTCATATTTTTTTTGGAACCTGTGCTACTTTTTTCAGGACTCTTTGATGAATAAAAAGTTAAAAAGAACAGTATTTATTCAAAATAGAAATCTTGTGTTACAATATACACTACTGTTCAAAAGTGTGGGGTCAGTACATTTTTTTCTTTCTTTTTTTGAAAGTAATGAATGCTTTTATTCAGCAAGGATGTGTTAAACGGATAAAAAGTGATAATAAAGACTTATATTGTTAGAAAAAAATTCTATTTTGAATAAATGCTGTTCTTTTTAACTTTTTATTCATCAAAGAATCCTGAAAAAAGTATCACAGGTAGGCCTGTTGCAATAATCAATATATCGACTTATTGCGCAATATATGTACATGACCTCAATCATTTTTGGTGATGCAATATATCGCCCATTATATTTACTTAAACATTAATGTCACCGTGTTTTTTACATTCCACTTGTGCCTGTGTCTTTTGCAGCTTCTCGTACATAACGTAGTGTAGTCATGAGGTCCTAGTTCAAATTTAAAAAATGCTTCTACAAAAAAGTTTCATCTGCAGATATGGTCTTGTTTAGGGATCTGTGCCTCTGTGCATACGGACATCTGACTGCTAAGTAGTGATTGTGTTTTTCAGCAATAGTGTGCACCCTTAATTTACAGAGAAAAGAAGGTCAGGGGAAAATCTGTAGATGGAAAAATCTCCAGACAAGTTCTTTGTGCATATTTCTTTTTTTCTACTTGTTACTTTGCACTTTTTGTTAGAAAATGTTTATTTCTTTGTGCATTTTTCTTTTTTTCTACTTGTTACTTTGCACTTTTTGTTAGAAAATATTTATTTACTATTTATTCAAGTTTTTTAAAGTATCTAATATTTTGATACTTAATTTGCATGATCTAAGTATTCTTAAAAATTAAAAGTTTGTTTTCATTTGGAAGTGTGTAGGCCTTCTTGCATTATTATGCTTTTACATTATGATTATATATTCAGTGGCATAAAATGGTCTTTAAAATGACAATAATATCACTTATCGCAATTATTTCTGGGGCAATATATCGCACAACAAAAAGTTGTTATCGTGACAGGCCTAATCACAGGTTCCAAAAACGTAGTTTCCATCATTGATGATAAATCAGTATATTAGAATGATTTCTGAAGGATCATGTGACACTGAAGACTGGAGTAATGATGCTGAAAATTCAGCTTTGCTTTACAGGAATAAATTATATTTTAAAGTACATTAAAACAGAAAACCAATATTATAAATTGAAATAATATTTCACAATATCACTTTTTCTTCTGCTTTTTTGATCAAATAAATACACCCTTGATGAGCAGAAGAGACTCCATTAAAGATTTTACTGATCCCAAACTTTTGGCAGTGTAGGTTCTCCTTGCACTCCATCTGTCATTTGGTTGAAAAGCTTTATAGATCACAATAGTGGCTAATAGAAAGTTCCCACAGTTTTATTGTGGCAGCAGTTCTGCAAATGGCATAATTTGAAGATACTATGGTTACCATGGTATACTTTTGTCTCAAGTATGTAGAAAAAGTGGATAAAGCAAAAACACTAAAAGTAATAATGGTGAATAATGCATTACACAATTATTAAACATGCAAAGCTTTGCTTACTTTGTGGTGCGACTCCAATGAGATTTGGTGGGAGTCGCAAATTTGATGGAAGTGCGCTTTCTCCAGAGAGAGATGAGATGAACTGATTGGAGAAAAATCACGGGTTAACTCGTCAGTGTGTTCCAGCATGACCATCAATATCATATTCACACGCGTTTGTATTTTAGGAATATTACCAGCAAAACAAAAACAATGCAAATCGACGCGCTTACTTACCCTTTTAGCCACCGTTCTTCCACAAATCGCTAACGTAGCACGAAACATGACGCGGGCTAATTCAAATAAATACTAAGTCAAGTGCACTGCTGTTATAATTTCAGCTTCTCGCATATTTGGTTTCCCTGTCAGAAGGTCGTGACGGCGTGCTCTATGTTCACGCTTCCGTCGCTCACATATGACGTAAGTTACGCTGCGTGCGAAAAATAGAAATATACGTGCTTACCCTCTCTCTCTTTTATTCTTTATTTGTGCGTTCTTATCATGATTGATAAGTGTCACGTTCATTATATAATATGTTTGGTGTTTAAAAAAGTACTGTTAATGGTTAATGATACTATGTAGGGCATCTGCAGCGGTGTTGCCAAGTTTCACTAGAGAAAATAAGCTATTTAAAAACATAAGAAGTCCAAAATAAGTAACCCTTTCTGGAAAAACAAGGCCAAAATAAGCGACGCATGCAGCTCTGGCACGTATAAAAGCAGCATTTAGGTGGAAAAGCTCGCAGTATTGCATGAAAACAGGCACAAGGGTGCTTATAATACGCAGACTTGGCAACTCGGTGTAGTAAAGAGAAAGGAAAAACTGAAATCGCATCATATGACCCCTTTAAATCTATAAAGTTAATTTACATTCGATGAAAATAAAGCATAAAAAAGCCGATTCGAAAATGGAATAAACCGTACACATAAAAAAAATATAAAACATAAAAAAACATTAAAGAATGAAATGGGTGGAAATGAAAAACATTTTTTATTGATAATTTATGTTTGTAACTTACAGTTTTGTGAATGAAATGCTACAGGTATTCATCCATAACATTTTTCAAATTTTTAATTGAATATTTGTACAAATTACGCAATAAAATGTAACTAATAAAATTACTAATAATACAATGTAAAAATGTAACTGGTTAATAATTTATAATAATGCTTCATTCTTTCTTACATTTCTTACTTTTATTTTGATCATTTTAATTAGAAATAGGCTGTATAATATATAGAGCGAGAGGTATGTTATTGTAAATGCAATATGTAGGCTATCCTCACATTCTAAAACAATTTCAAAATGACATTTAAAAAAAAAAAAAAATGGAAATCCCACCTTGTTATTTGTACAATAAAAAAACGGAACACAATTATAAGTAATGCTGGACACAGAGCAATTTTCAAAAATAAGTGATTATTTTATTTGTATCTTACAACTACAGGCGCAGAAGATTCTTTGCTGCTTATTAGTCAACAGACTCTTCTTCACAATAGGCACAGCCGTACGACCTTTGTCACAAGGTGATTTGTGTGATTGCATAGTGCAGTTTAAAACCTAGAATTCACATCCTCAGGTCAGTAAAAGACAAGCAAGTGCACCACGCAACCTTTTTTTAACTCCATCAATAAAATGTCAAAATAGAACTTGTGTTTGACATATCAAGTGCAATCAGTTGTGTTGATATGCCATCTAATTTCACAAACAAATTTATAATTTGCATATTAAAAATCAACATATTCCCTACAGGGTGGTGATGGTGCAACTCAAAAGATTTAAACAAAACTCCAGGCAAAGCACTTCTAGTTCTTTGTCGAAACGATGAACAAAAAAAACTGCTAATTAGATCTAAATGAGAAAAATTTAAGGTGTTATTTTGGCAGCTGGAACATCAAAATCAAAACAAAATTTCAAGTATGATTTTAAGAATCCCAATTAGAATAGTCCACAGGATTGATTCCTCTTCTTCCATCACGTCTGCAGGGCCCTGAGAGTGTTGAGACTGACCAGGAGTCTCATCTGAGGAGTAAGAGTTTTTCTCGATTTCTTCTTCTGTAAGTGCCATCTGGTCATAAAACACCTTCATCTCAAACTCACTCTCCATGTAGGAGGGATGTCCGTAGATCCCGATTCCAACAGGCCTAACATAATCCCCCGGGACGAGCACCACGTCCTGGCCACAGGTGGTCGACTGAAGCTTGTAGGTATCAAAGTTTGGCCGCAGCGTCTTGTCAGAGACGTAGAGGTCCGCATCTCCCTTAAGGCTTTGCATGTACAGGATAATGCGTCCTTCGTGGTTGAGGCGCAGGTAGCTGTAGTTTCCCGCACCGATGTGGCCTTGCACGACATGGAGCAGGACCCATTCATCCGGCACAGAAAGCTCCTCTGTATGCTGCAGAGAGCCCAGGGCCCGGGACAAGGCCGCCAGCACCAACAAACCACCCCAGCACAGCACCATGGTCACAGCTGCCAGACCCCAGCTACATCTGTAACCTCCCTGCAATCACAAAAATAGATTCTTTCAGTATCACCGGGACTCAGATATTCAAAAAAGATCAGATTTTGGCATTCGGATTGGATCCAATTTTGACCACGGTTTCTTTAAAAGGAAAAAAAGTCTCTGAAAACTAAATAAATCTTCACTGCTGTATAGTGTTGCTCAAAACATATTAGTATTGGGATACATTAGATTAAAAAAAAATGTATCTGGATTACCCTGATTGCATCAGAAGGGTGGAATAAAATGTAACAAAACTTTAAAACTGGTTAACTAACATTAGTATTATGTAGTGTATAATATACACATATTTATATTTTGCACTAAACACTCATGTTGTGTTCCAGTCATTTTAACCTGGAGAGGTCTTTTTTCCCCTGGAAATGCTAGTTATGTTATCACATTACATTAAAACCTTCTGACTTTACTCACACAGGGTATTACAACTTCCCAAAAAAATGGATTATTTTTGTAAAAAAAAAAAAAAAATCCCCACGTTCTTACACTCGTGGTGTTCCCAGTCAAAAATGACAGGCCTGCAAAAAAAAGTTGCCTGTAAATCTCTCATTATGCTATATTACTACCAAATATTGGATTCAAACTTGCTTTCTTTTAATTAGCACAGTTCTTTTTTACTTATTGATCGTAGGCCTCACTGTTTATGAAGTTCATGCACCTCAGTTTTAATGTTAATTAATGTTGTTGTTTTTTTACTCAAAAACTGAGGTGCAAAAGCTCAGATCAATGAGGCCAGTTCCAAAAAGAAATACAAACCCTGTTGTAACTGAATGAAAAGAACAAGACAAAAAGATTGAACCTAAGATTTGGTGACAATATAGCATAATGAGAGTTACATGGTAAAGGATTCTCAGCACAGCCCAAGGGTTAACCGTTAACCGTGACAAAGTAGAAGCCTAAAAGACTTCTAAAGTAGCCTAATTAATTATTTTTATTATTTTTAGTGCTGTTCTTTTTTTTTGTCTCACATAAACAAAAACACAAAGTGACCCACCATTGATTATTCTACCTCTTGATGTTTATATACAAATCTAGATCTATATTTCGAGCACTGGTAATCTGGATTTGGTCAAATGTTTGTTATCTGGATCAAGGCTGTGTTTCTCAAAAGCATTGTGTGAAAAGTTGCTTGTAGAGACCATTGGTGGGAATGGATCTACAATCTACTAAAAGATGAACGAGATGAACAAACTCAGAGTTGCGGAGTAAGTTTGACAAAACCCGATAAAGCCAACATGGTTTAGATCTGGTTCACAAAGTTCGATATAAACGTTCTCTGACAACTCAGAGTTTGTGATTAACTCTGGAGCGTGTGCACCTGAAAGTGTGACACGTGCCTGCAAACAGCCAATCACACGGAACGTGGAGAGCGTCAGCAAAGTGTCCTTGGAGTCACTTCTCGCGCGCAATTCACTTTTCTGCTGCGGATTAAGAGATGTCGTTATTAAAAATGTAATAAATTTAAATGCATTTACAAGGCAGGAATAAACACTTCTGCTGCAGCAAAAGTTTGGCAGCAGAAAGAGAATATATGACTATGCGAAGAAATCAATTGAATTTAAATTTAAATATAGTTTAGTCATTTTAAAAATTGTATATATATATATATATATATATATATATATCAATAAAGCGCTATATATATGCATCATTCATTCATTTATATATACCTAGCCTATATATATAGCCTATATATATATTTAATTTAAATACTAAGCTTAAAATGAATTGCCACTTCATATAATAATTATATGAATATATTATATGAATTATAAACAATTACAATAAATCTAATATAAATATAATAAATAAGTAGCTGCAAAAGCCGGGCAATTTTGTATCTAAAATTCTTTGACTGTAAACTGCTTTAATTTGTATTTGCATCAGATATATGTCACTTTGCTCACAGCTGATTGGCCCAGTTTGGGTTTGCAATCTCTAACCCAGAGTACTAGTGTAAGTTACTATGGTGACGAAACCCCAAAACCAACCCATCTTCTTGAGCCCGAAAACTCAGTGTTTGCTCAAACTAAACGTGAACTTACCTGGGTAAAAACTGAAACCGGCTTCGTGCTACAGGCCTTTGCTTTGAAAAACCAGAACAACAATAAAATACACCCGATCCTGAAGAGCAAAACATCGAATTTCCAAAACCAGATCATTCTTATTGAGATTTTTCAACAACTGGGCTCTGGACCTGATATGAGACTACACTGAAACAAACTAAACAAAACAAAGATTACTGGAGTACATTTAACCAGAAGATACTGTAGAGTTTTCCTATTCATTTTTTCATTCAGTGTATTACTTGCTTTTTCTTTGTGTTATCTTGTTAAATTTCTAAGTCAAATTTGTTTTTTCTCAGTGTACTTGAAGTGCTGCGTTTCCTGTGACATGAGGCCAGGAGACTTTTCCTCTAGAGGCATTCTGAATCTAAACCTTGCATAGCTGTGAAACGACACCATTTGACACAAGTCATACATCTGGACCGACAGCAGGCTGTTAAAAATATCTCCGTCGCTATTTCCAAGCAGCCACACACAAACAGGCCGTGGTCACGTACTGTCAGTCCAGCCAGGACAAACCATACTCGAATGAAACTCTACAAACTTTAACCAAACAATGCATCAAGACGTCTTCGCAGGGCGTACGGACAGTCCTGAATTAGTAAAATCATTTTGGTGCATAAACAAACAGTTGAAAGTGAAAGCATTAATTAAAAGATGACATTCAAGGGTCTATTTGAACATAACAGCGCTTAAACATAAGCAGACTGACACAGCCAGTTAGCTTCAAAAGACTCGTTTTTGAAATATACGATAGCCTATAAAATTATTTAACGTTACTCAGTGCGACATACTATAACACACTCCGTTTCTAAACTAAAATGACTTCTAATTCCTGAAGGTTGCACTAAAGAATAAGTGAGCTATTTAGCTAGCTAGCTAGCTAGCTAACAGACCAGTTAGTTTTGAGGAAACTGGAACAAAAGAACAATTCGTAATTAACGCAGGTGCTTTGATATGTTGACAAATATGTATTATTTTGAGTTACCGGTGCATTGTCAAAAATACTCCATAGGAAAGGACAGTCGGCGTCGTATATTTTGAATTCGCTCTTACAGGTGTTGAGGTGACTACTGGACGCTCTGGGACTTGATGGCGTTATAATGCGCATGCGCGCCCTCTGTTGGTCAGGAGGACAGCAGAACATCACAGCATGCGATGGAAACGACATTGTAGTGAAATTATTTTTTTTTATTTTTTTTTTATTTTTTGCAGTAAACAACAAGGATTACAGTACGTACAAAACAAACAGTAAAAAACAGTACGTACAAAACATACAAAATACCAATCAATAATAAACTACTTGAGGATTAATAGATAAAACATCACAGAAAAAACAATATAATATAAAAATTCTTAAGAAAAGGACAGAAGAAAAAAAAAGAAAAAAAAGGCACACAAATAGAAATATAAGTATATTAGGGAACAATATTAAACATGGCACAAATTCTAGATGTTTTTATAGCTTTCTTGTTAACAGACGTTGAACTTGTATTTAAATACAACTTCAGTTCTTGTCTGAAGATGTTAAAATGGGATTTACATTTAGTATATTTACATTTATGGACATAAAACTTTCCAATAAATAACAGGAGGTTTATACAAAAACTTGCATTAAATAGATTCTTATCTTTAGCATAAAACCCCAAAATAATGTGTTTATAACACAAAGAGAAATCATAAAAATATTTTGGACAATCAGAGCATTAACATTATTCCAGAAAGACTGAACAAAGGGACACTCCCAAAACAAATGAGCTACAGTTTCAGAAGAAAATTCACAGAATGAACAAAATGTATCAATGTCACTTTTAAATTTCTGCAAAAATTGCTTGACAGGATAAAACCTGTGGATTATTTTATAAGATATTTCTTTAACTTTATTTGTTAAGAAGAATTTCAGAGGGAGTGACCAAACATATGCCCACTTAATATCATCAAAAAGGTTGTTCCAATAAGAAATGGAGGAAGAATTAGAGGTAACAAGGTCCAAAAATAAAGACCTGATTTTGTGATTGGATTTTTGAACAGAGAAACAAATAGAACCAACCACAGTGGATTCAGGACTGGGGGGGCAAACAGAAATCAATGAGCCACTGTTATTATTTCTAAAAAGCATACAAATTTCCTGAGAGATGGCCTTTAAAACTGTATTAAATTATTTTCTAGATACAGGAAAGTGATATCTTAAAATAAAATCTGAATAATTAAACAAATTGCCATCATTGTCAAACAATTGGTTCACTAACATCACTCCATTACTGAACCAATTTTCCAGAAACAAGGATTTCCACTTATGTAAAATATTACAGTCTCAATAGGAATTTTTTAAATCATTCCATTATTCGATGCCCTCTCTAGTTCTTTCCTTTTCTCAGAGTATTTTCTACATATCAAGCATTATAATATCACCAACAAGAAAACCATAGGCTGTATAAAAA